AAGTGCGAGGAGATCTAATGTAAGCCAACTCTGAAAAGATTAGAATTTACGGTCTAATGCGGAATTAGGCAGATAGTACGCTCGAGCCTCCTAAGGCATACACTCTGCAAGCTGAGCTACGGATCTATAACACCAGCTTTGATTTTATTTTCATATTTGGCTACTTACGACAATAACAGAGGCATACTGACCAATACCAGTAGTAGCATGTGAGCTGACTTCTTTGGGGCATTTTCCCTAGATGAAATGGAACCCTTTAATTCGTGGAATAAGCTGAATACTGCAATCGGAATATGAACATAAAGTACAAAGCAGGACTTTGTTCTTGAATTGTTTCAATCACATTCATATGCGATGAAAACAATCGACTTGTGTTGGAAATCCGTTTGTGAAAATAAGTAAGGTGTAACAACCAACATTGTCTCCGATTCTCGCGTTTGTACATGAGCATAGCTTGCGTAACCGGTGACAACTAGACCACGACGCCTCTGGACTCACAAGAGACACGGCCCACTTTGTTCATGTAATTATCTTTGGACCAGTGCTTTTTTACTATTTCAGCTTTAACTGCTGGATGATAGGTAGCTGGGGATGATATGCATTTCACTTCCTGAGGGCCATAGACTTGAATCGTTGAATGTGGTAAATCATAGCGCAACCAATGTAAGTGTTTGTGTGTATCTCGTCAAGCGCATTAAGTCACTGTCCGAGGTTCGAAAATCGCCATTGCCCTCCAACTTTAGCGGTAGGCGGCTTCGCTGCCACCCGGTCCAATACCACTTCTATTTTATTGGAACAGTGTGGTTCACCACTGCACGTCCCAGGAATTCAGTTGCAGGTAGTTACAAATGAAAAGTAGGTACTTTTAACACTGAGTTTTACCCCTTCCGGAAATACATTTAATCGCAATTTTCACTATTATATATGTGATGGAATCATAACACCAATCACTGCTCAGGCCTGCGCTGAAATTTCAAGATTTAAACCGCATAGCAATGCCCACAAGTTATTATTTAATTTAAAAGTAACCCATCACTGACTGTTTGCTAATCACCTCGAATTGAAATCCTTGGAAGCAATTTACAGCTTTTTAACTGGCGAACGCGAGTCTCCGTGAAATGAACGCTTTTGTTTATGACTGCCATGTGTAGAAATTCAGTTTTCGACTCATAGATTCCGTTGTACACTCAGAAGCAATAAACTTTAATTTGACTTTGTTTACAGTCCGTCAGTATCGTGCATTCATCGGTTCATCCGGTATTTCAAATACCGACTACTCCAATGAAAAGCCGGGGTATTACCACCGTCTCAGTGGGCGCGCATTGGTCATATCCCAGTTATAGGGATTGTTTTATTGAGGAGTCACTCTCAGAATTGGTCAGTCAGTTGGCGGCAGGACGGCTCTGCATCGCCTGGATAAGCACAAGTAATGAACCTTAACTACAGCAAAGCTTAGTCCTGATACCTTACAATTGCATGGTTGACTAGACGAACCGAGCACAAAGTTACTATAGAGAATTATCAGCAGAGGCTATTCGACGCATATGTGACAGCGTAAAACGGAGTCCCACTCATGGCCAAAAGCAAACCCCAATTCGAACCAGCGTCAACCCAATCTTTACGCCTCGCCGGTGATTCGTACGATCTCAGGACTTTTGCACATGTTGACTGAACACGCTCCAATATTTACTTATTCGTACAATTTGAAGATAAAGNAGATAAAGTAATTAAACCGGAGAGCTTTGTTTCTATGCTGCTATTCAGTTTGGTACTGAAGACAGCATGGCTCCAATTTTGTTAACCACTGCTATCATAACACATCTTTTCCATTCATTTTTTTTCTTGCCCAGACGGGATATGATTATCTGTGAAGATAGCAATGCGAGCGAGTGGATTTACTTGGTAAAGGCTGGACAGTGCAAAATTGTTAAAGATGTTCGTCTTTGTCCATCAAAACTGAAATGCTCCGATTCGAGACCACAAACACAGTTTTCGGATTCTTATCAATGCCGCAAAAGCGGTAATAGATTGATGTCGCGTTTATCGGTAGGTAACTTCCTAATTCAACTGAAGTAAGTCACGCACTGAATCAAATGGTGACCACAACAAAAATGTGAATGTCTTCTTGTATTTACATTTAGTCCGCTACGGCCACAGGTAATGAAGAACTGGAAAAGAAATATTTTGTCATTCTTAAATTGTTGGAAATCAATTCTGTATTCGTAAGTTTCAGCTTTACTGAATTGAATCAGTTATGCCAACAAATTTAGGGACTGGAAACCATCGCTTTCGAATCGCTGGGTGGTACATCTTCGGTCTCGTTGGTTTCTGACGGAGCTGAGTGTATTGCAATCAACAAAAAGTTTTTTCTCAAACACTGTCCAACCGTTTTCATGAATTGGTTGCGCCGTCAAGTAAGTGATTACGGTGTGTGCGGAAGTGGATAGTCCTAGATGTGCTATGCTTCCTTATTTCTCACTCGTTACTTTCACCGTTGGTTCTCCGGATTGAGTTCCAGGGGCTAAACCATATGGTTTCATTGCAACCGGTTCCGTCAAATGACCAATTTTGTTCTGGACTACAGATGGTTGAATCATCAGTATCTGCTGATAATATAATAGGCCTACAGAACTATCTTTATATTTTACCGGGTTTATGCCCGGCAAACGCGATATGCTTAACAACCACTGCCTAATCGGGTGGCCGTCTCCAAACGAGCATACCATTCTTCTTTAAATCATATTCTTGCCTACTTTCATTGATTAGATTGAAACTATGATACAATCAGTGTGCAGGAAGGGGGCCTCGGTTGAATTAAGGCTTTCACATACTAAATGAGAAAGCAGGATAGCGATTGTGGAGTTCGAACCCATGAAATACAAAGATAGGCTGATAATCTTTAGGCTCTACCGTAATCGACCTTCATGATCTGAACCAGCTTGATAATTTTCGTGTAATTCAATTTCGAAGTGATCACGAACCTCCGTATGATTTGAGCTCAAACATGAATGCCGATTGCACCTCTGTACAGCGTACAATAAGCAAAGTGAGCTACGAGGCTACAACTACCGCTTGTATGTTTTTACATTTCACTATCCATCCAACTGATAGAAGTACACAGACAAACCTTTTGACACGTAAGTTGGCTTCCACGACAGGGTTAACTTTTAATCAACAGAGTCCCCCTGACGAACTCTTATGTGCAGACCTTATGCTTGGTAGCTGACACTCTAGCGTGAGATGCATTATGAGAACTTCGAAATACACTCTCAATGTCCCCCAGAACAAAGAGCGTAGCTGAACGTCGATTTTCGGTGAATTCTTCTTCTTAGTTCTTCGACGAACTGCAACAAATCATTTGGCTTAGACAAGGCTTTAAGACAGTTCCACTTCCAGATGGTTTCGGTACATATGTTGGAGGACTGAAGTCGCCAGAATTCTGTTTGCTCTGTCGCTTCGCTCCATCCGCCTAGAGAACAGATAACGTCAGTCCACTTCTTCAATTGTGTAAAAACCAGTAGATGTTCTTTGTCCGCACTAACTCCTGAAATAGTTCTCGACTGACGACAACACGTCACTTCAAAGCTACGGGTAATCTGGCCCAAATTTGCCAACTTGCAGCTACTTGTGGTATGGCTCAGTATAGGTTACAAGTTCTAATCCGCCAACAGAACTCTAAGTACGAATTTGTTTTCAGAAGTCGAATAAATCAAACCGGCTTCCCCATATGTTCAAGGCGAAATGCCTATTCCGTTTCCAAGAGGATACTTTGCAACTACTTCTGCAACCACCTTAAAACAGGTTTTGTTTTGATAGTAACCAAAGTGTCAGATTCCGTAATGCCTTGCCTCTTAATAACTACAAGAAAAAACGAACATCCGTGAACAGTAAGCACAATTTAGACCAGATTGCAGCCGACTGGTCAAATCTTCAAGCTACGTCAAGTGGTGGAGTTACACCACACACACACCGCCTATTAGGAACACCGATATCTCTTGATCTGGAAGGAGTTTTGACTTTATCGACCGTAAGGCTTTCTTGAGTTTCCAGTTCCTAAAATCCGACTTGATATAGAATTCCCCGAATCACGCTCTGGAAACGGGAGTAACGGTAAGCAGAAAACAACCGGATGATTTCATCTATTGCAATCGAGAGGATGCTATCAAAATGAAGATAAACGTAAAATCCCATCCATGAAGCTTTTTTAACAAAAAAGAGGACTACCTTATTTCTTGATGCTTTTATCGGTGCCATGTTCAACGCTGCCAGAGTGAACCGCTTGTTCATAACATCCCCTTCCTCGTTTCCGATCAGGTATCAAAACAAGGCAAATTTGTCTCTGCTGGACCTTTTATTGATAATCCACCAAAAGGAGAGTCGGTTTGGTGCCACTTGTGTTGATCAATCGACGAGACCACGATCGAAACGCATCGAAGAACGTTAGTTAGGCTAATTTAGAAAGGAATGAAGAGCTGCGACAGAAAGGTCGATCGTGGCTCACATGCTTTCGTCGCAACATCCAGCGGAGACTGAAGCCGGATTTGCGGTGCCACACGCAGCCCAGTTGAATGGGTCCAGAGCAATGTGGACCCGAGTGCTGTTGAGGGCCGAAGTGATTAACTTAATGCTTACGAAATCACTTTGTTTACAAAAGAACATAACATAACCTTCTGAACTCTCATGGTTAACAGTCGATTACATCATTCTTGAGCAGGCCTCTAGTAGGTGTCGTCAGCACATGTTTAAAACACGGTATATTCACCTAAAAAGGCCGCGCTCAGTGGTATTCTGATAGAATGAGCAAAAAAATTATTTGATCAACCATTCTCTATTACAAAGTAACTGAAAGAAATGGTTCTTGTAATAGCTAGAGAATGTATTCACCTACAAAGTGTTTTGAAAGTCAACAATTAGTTCCCTCAACCGCTGGAGGAATGGCATTCATTTCATCCCCCCCCCCATTTCTATTTTATTCAGATTCAACCGTTTCCGGATGAGAAAACCCTAGAGACCAAGTTGGCTATCTATCGCGACTGGAGAATTTACCGAGAACGCGTTGTGGAAGACTATTTGATCGCTTGCCAAGATGAACCACAGTGAACAACACGAAGAGCAAACAGTCAACAAAACCAACAAGTGTTTGATTATCGCAAAGAGAAAAGATACCTGCATTTCTGGTTCTTTTACCTAAAACTATGAGAATGATGGGAAGCACAAAGTAGGGAGGGTTATTAGTGGAAGCGAAACAGATAACCGTGCTACTGTAATAAACGATCAACGGGATTTTCGATGGAAGGAATTCAGATATTACAGTAAATTATACCTATTGTATTATAGACATCTTGTGCAGGCAACTGTGCCTGCATTTCAGTCAAAAATGTGTTCATCGTTGCAACGGGTTAAAAAGTGAAATGAAAATTCACATATAACAATGATAAAATTTAAACAGGTGTTCATCTTTGTAGGTTTAAAATTAGTTCGTTACGGATCCTCACCGTGTCAGTGAGAATACGAGCCAGATAGGGAACCGTTGGGTTGCGATAAATGTATATGTGGGAGGGTAAGCAGCAAAAATTGGATTGGGTTGCAGCGTGGGAACGGCAAGCAGATAAATCCGGATTGAGCAGATGACTGGGGTCACTGAGTATCTTATGAGCGAAATTCTCACGTGAAGTGATATGCAAATTACACTATTTTGTGATCAGTGTTTAAAGGAATAAGAGAAACACGGCTGACAATTACTAAACCGCGATGTAGAGTAATGAAATTCTTTCTAAGAAGTCCAGGTAAAATACCGCGCGAACGATAAAGTATGACAGGAAAAATACAACGATAAACAAAGGAATATAGTTTCATGCTGCACTCGAAATTGTCGTAGCTTGCGTATTCGAAAAGACAAGCGACTTAGTTTCCCAACACAGACTAGCACATGACAGGACCACCGTAGATTGTCATCTACGGTGACTCATAGGTATTTGGTGGTGTGTTCTGGTGATGGGTACGGAATTGATGACTGAGGATTCCAAGGGATATTCGGATCGAGAAAGACTAAAAATGCATTCGAAGCATTTAGGAGTATTCAACTGAAGACCGGATTTGCTCGAGAATTTGCACGTGTAATAAACTGTCGGAAAATGATTCTATGTCAAATTGGTTTGAAATGGCATGAAATAAGACCACATCATCAACATATTTTAAGGTCTTGGCTGGTGGGATTGAGGGTAAATCACCGATGAAAGTTGAAAATAAGAAGGGAGAGAACAGCACCCTGAAGGACTCCAGAATTAGTCACCAACTGATTTGAAATAGTGCCGTTTGGTTTCGTTCTTTGAATCCTTTCTGTGAAATAATCTGTCAACCATGACAATCAGTTGGTGGGGCAAGCGAATAACTGTAACTTTCGCATAAGAGACCGTGGAACAGAATCAAAAGAGGAAGAAGAGTCAAGGAAAACACGAGTGGACTTTTGAGAATGATCTAAAAACTTGCAAATAAAGCGCAGCATTGAAGAGAGCATCTAAATTGCAATTATCTGGCTTGTAAGCAAACTGGAGGGGGTCATTGGGAACAGAAAGATCAGACTGCAAGCGGATGAGAATAGCGTGCTCTCTAAGTTCAAGTCCAGAGGAGGTGATGGCGATAGGACGAAAGCGTTCAGGTAAAATGCTAGATGAAGAGGATTCAGGAATGGGAACAATGGTGAATCGTTTTTCTTTGAGAACCCTAACCGGAGCCTTTGACTCAAGAGTCTGACCCGCAAATCAGCGGAAATTCGTAGATTTCTCTTTGGGAACCCTAACCGGAGCCTTCGACTCAAAGT